AGGGAAGTAATTTCTGCTAAACTTCAGACTTGCTTACAGGGATGGCGACAGCGCCCAGCCAGCAAGGGGACCCCCAGGGGCCTCAGATGGCGACTTTTGGAATCATAGGTCCAGGCTTCCCAGGTGACTGGTTCAAATTCATCCACAGTTGTGACACGGACACACTTGCTGAATTGTAGGACATGAAGATGCATTTTCAAGGGAATTCAGCTAAACAGAGAAAACAACCCTAAAATGTTAGTGTTGAGGCAAGAACCTCTTTAACCTTGGCTGCAGCAACTTCTTACTCAACATGTGTCCAAAGGCAAGGGAAACAAAAGCAAAAATGAACTATTGGGACCTCATTAAGATAAAAAGCTTCTGCCCAGCGAAGGAAACCATCAGCAAAACTGTAAGGCAACTGATGGAAAGGGAGGAGACGTTTGCAAGCGACACATAGGATAAAGGGTTGATGGGGCGCCTGGGTGGCTTAGTCGGTTGAGCATCCGACTTTCACTTGGGTCATGATCTCACGGTTCGTGGGTTCGAGCCCCACATCGGGCTCTGTGCTGACAGCTCAGAGCCTGGAGCCTGTTTCAGAGTCTGTGTCTCCCTCTCTCTGACCCTCCCCTGCTCACTCTGTCTCTCTCTCTCTCTCTCTCTCTCTCTCCTAGAAATAAATAAAAATATTAAAAAAAAAAAAAAAGGATAAAGGGTTGGTATCCAAAACCTATAAATAAAGAATTATCAAACTCAACACCGAAAACACAAATAATCTGGTGAAGAAATGGGCAGAAGACATGAACAGACACTTCTCCAAAGAAGACATCCAGATGGCCAACCGACACATGAAACGATGCTCAGCATCCCACCTCAGGGAAAAACAAATCAAAACCGCACTGAGATACCACTTCACACCCATCAGAGTGGCTAAAATCAACAAGTCACGCAACAACAGATGTGGACGAGGATGTAGGGAAAGAGGATCTATTTTGCACTGCTGGTGGGAATGCACATTGGTGCAGCCGCTCTGGAAAACAGGATGGAGGTTCCTCAAAAAATTGAAACTAGAACTACCCTACAACCCAGCAATTGCACTACTAGGTATTTATCCAAGGGATACGTGTGTGCTGTGTCGAAGGGACACATGTACCCCAATGTTTATAGCAGCACTGTGGACAATAGCCAAAGTATGGAAAGAGCCCAAACGTCCATCGATGGATGAATGGATAAGAGGTGGTATACACATACACATACACACACACACACACACACACACACACACACACACAGTGGAGTATTACTCAGCAGACAAAAAAATGAAATCTTGCCATTTGCAACTACATGGATGGAACTGGAGGGTATTATGCTAAGGAAAATTAATCAGAGAAAGACATATATCCTATGACTTCACTCATATGAGGACTTTAAGATACAAAACAGATGAACATAAGGGAAGGGAGGCAAAAATAATATAAACAAAGGGAGGGGGATGAAACATTAGAGACTCTTAAATATAGAGAACAAACGGAGGGTTGCTGGAGGGGCTTTGGGAGGGGGGATGGGCTAAATGGGCAAGGGGCATGAAGGAATCTGCTCTTGAAGTCATTGTTGCGCTATATGCTAACTTGGATGTAAATTAAAAAATTAATAAAAAAATAAAAATCAATCAAAATTTAAAAAAATGTTAGTGTTGAGATATTAGTGATTTCTATTTGCCTCTGTAGTCTGTAGACTCCTTCAAAAGATCTAAAGAACCATTTATTGTTTTATGAGCAGAAAGGGTGGATTTTAGGAAGCTCCTGTGGACACGATGCTAACTGGACCCCTCTAGAGCTGGAGGGGACTAGCCTGGCAGCCCCAGACTTTGGAGCATGGAGAATAACTCACCCAATGTGAGCGCTCACCGTTTGGGTTAACACACACACACACACACACACACACACACACACACACACACACACGTAATCTCTGTGCCCAACATGGGGCCTAAACTCAGGACCCCAAAGATAAAGCATCGCATGCTCTCCCAACTGAGCCGCCAGGCACCCCTTATACATATGGCCATAACTTATTGCAGAGTCCTAGGAAATAATTAAAGGATTCTCTCTGAGGGCAAGCAGGTGAGAAAGGAACATTTTTTTGAGAGAGAGAGAGAGAGAGAGAGAAGCAGGGGAAGAGCAGAGAGAGAGACAGAGAGAGAATCCCAAAAAGGCTCTGTGCTGTCAGTGCAGTCCCACTTGGGGCTCGAACTCATGAACCATGAGATCATAGCCTGAGCCAAAATCAAGAGTCAGACACTCAACTGACTGAGCCACCCAGACACCTCTTATGATTTTTATATTTAAATGATCTCTACACCCAACGTGGGACTTGAACTCACAACCCTGAGATCAAGAGTCACACTGTACAAACTGAGCCTGCCGGGAGCCGCACCGGCCTCTCTGGACGGCAATCACAGCAAGGAAATGGCAATGTTTGCAGCTCCTGCCATGAGAAATGAAAACTGGGATCTCCTTATGCCACTATTGGCTCATGTTGGATATAACCCTGCTGGTATTGACCAGGCCTCACAATATTCCATATCAGACCCATATTCTGAATACAGATACCTCATACGGAAAAGCATATTCCTGCCTTTACAAAAGAGATTTTAGATGAAAGCTCTATGGGTGATTGTCAAAAGGCTCTTCCTATGGGCCTTGCAGACCCGAGACTTAGGGGGTTAAGAACACAAGAATTACAACTGAGTCTGGCCCTGAGACCAAGGGCCTATTTTGGGGTTAAGAGCAAAACATAGTTACCACATGTATCTTTGCTAATTGGTGAAACAACAGTCCCTTCCTCAAGGCCTACTTTCCACAAACACCCTCCCTTACACTGGCAGCTGGGATGAGGATGGATAACAGTAGCTAAAACATAAGCCAGGGGCAAAGGACTGACCCATTCAGGGCCCCCATGATAGTCTCCACAAACAAACCAATTCAGAAACATTCATCCTCTTGAGAGCCAGACAAAATACTCCTAGCTTATCTGTATACAATTTGACCTATAAGTTATCCTATTTTTCACTAAGAACATTCTGTTATTTCCTTGGTCGGAATAATTCTACTATTGATATCACAAAAGGCCTCCCATTGTAAGAAATTCCTTTCTATTACTTCATTTTGTTGCTGAACCTTTAAATAAAGACACAAAAACTGACAGGACAGAGATGCCTGCCTGGTGATCAGAAAGAATCCCGGGGCATCTCTCTCTCTCTCTGCCGACACCGTCCATCCTTCAGGGACCCCTGGACCTGCCGGAGCCGGCTCGGCCTCCGACATAGTGGCGCCCGAACAGGGACTGATGAGCCAGCCAAATGCTCCAACAAGTTTAATTTTTTAATTAACTTTCTTAAAGGGGTGCCTGGGTATGGAGCCTGCTTAAGATTTGCTCTCCTAGGGCGCCTGGGTGGCTCAGTCAGTTGAGCGTCCGACTTCGGCTCAGGTCATGATCTCATGGTTCATGAGTTCCAGCCCTGCGTCAGGCTCTGTGTTGACAGCTCAGAGCCTGGAGTCTGCTTCACAATCTGTGTCTCCCTCTCTCTCTGTCTCTCAAAAATAAATACACGTTATGGGCGCCTGGGTGGCTCAGTCAGTTAAGTGTCCGACTTTGGCTCAGGTCATGATCTCGTGGTTTGTGAGTTCGAGCCCCGCGTAGGGCTCTGTGCTGATAGCTCAGAACCTGGAGCTTGGTTCCAATTCTGTGTCTCCCTCTCTCTCTGCCTCTCCCCTGCTCACACTCTCTCTCTCTCTCTCAAAAATAAAATAAATAAACATTGGGAAAAAAATTAAAAACTAAAATAAAAAATAAAACCATAAATAGAAGAAGGGGCTAGACACAATTGCAACAAACTGGTAACAACACTTCTATGTGATGAGGGTTACAGTTTTCTCCTTTTGTTTGCTCCTTCACCCATGTTCTCACTGGGGTCCCACACTGAGCACGCGTCACTAAAACCATCATGTGCCCAGAGGTAGCAGCTGAGCTGGGCTGTCCTGGACCTTGCCCTGCCTTTGTATGAGCAGGGAGTTTGGCAGGGGAGGGGCAGGAGGGTGCTCAGAGCTTCCTCAGTGGCTCCTCCCATCACACGTTCCCCGACAGGGGCTTGAACTCCTGAACTGCAGGCCTGAGCTGAAGTCGGAAGATTAACCGGCTGAACCACCCACGCACCCCTAGCTATAATTTAAATTAAGATACACGCACCCTTTGCAATAATACATAATAACTAAGGGAACATATTAAGCACATTAAAATAGTTGCCTTCTGGTGGAGATGGGAAAGGGAATAAGCAAGGAGGTAAAGAGAAATAAATGGCACAGGCTGTGACGCGAGTGGCGGGTGGAACTGTAGGCTCGCGTGACCCCAGGCTCTGTGTGAAGAAGAGTCTAGCCTCCTCCCAGCCTGGGTGCCCAGCTTGGAGAGTCCCCCTGGTCAAGCTGCTGAGGGACTTGGCCTGTGGGGGAGAAGAACCTTATCCCGGGGAGGAAGGGGCTGCACACAGAGGTGGAGAGTGTCTGAAGGTGAAACTGACATCACATGCTGTGACACTGGCCTCAGTGTCCCTCTGTAGACCTCCATTCACTCATCTGTAAGGTGACAATACAGAAGCTTAAATAAAGGAAGGAGGAGACGGTGCTCATGTGAGAGCCTGAAACGTTCTAGATCATCCTTCCATCACGAGGACAGGGAAGTCAGGGACGATGGTTATAGGAGGCCAGTCACTGGACTGGCTGGCACATGGACTGTCCGCCCAGGCTGGGCCCCTATCTCCCTGGAACCTGGACTCAGGCTGTGGCCCAGCAGGGGGGAGACTAGAGTGATAGCCCCTCACTGCAGCTGTCCCACCAGGGACTGGTGACCACCCACCCTCACTGGGCCTGATAAGAGACCCCGCCCCCACAGCCCTCTCCCTCTCCAGACCAATGGCCACAGCCAGGGGCCCCGCGCCGGCTCTGCGTATTTAAAGGGAACCTGGGGGCTGAGCACACAGAGGCCAGTCCTGAGCACACCCAGCTCCGGCTCAGCCGCCACCATGTCTCTGACCAAGGCTGAGAGGAACATCATCCTGTCCATGTGGGGCAAGATCTCCACTCAGGCGGATGCCATTGGCACCCAGGCCCTGGAGAGGTGAGTGCCGGGTGGGCTGGAGCCCCGTGGGTGACAGTGTGGAGTCAGTGAGGACAGGGGCCAGGGAGGAGCGGGTTCTCTGAGGAAAGGGTCACTAAGGAGGGGTCAGTGAGGTGGGCAGATGAATTGCACAGACTTCTGATTGACCCTAAGCTCACTGAGTCCTGAGCAAGGACAGGCCCAGGATCTCACAAGAGGGGTGTGGATGCATTTCCTCCAAGACCTGAAGTTCCTAAGGAGGCAGTCAAGTATCTACAGGCACTAACAGCAGCCTCTCTAATCCTGGGGAAGGTGGTCCCAGGTGGTTTCCCTAAGACATCTTCCTTGCAACGTGGCGGCGGATGGCGTTACTTCTGGCACACAGTCCAGCATTCCTGTGCTGTCAGGGGTTGGGAAAGAGGTTTTTGTGGCCGGAGAGGTGAAAAAGGGCTGGAGGCCTCCAGTGGGTTTGCAGGGCCAACTGGGAGCAAGGAAGCCACGGAAAAGGCTGAGGCGGCCGAAGGGGCAAGGTTGGGTGCCAGGGGTGTGGGGCAGAAAGCCTTGGGACCATGGGATGGAGCTTAGGAGAGGGGCACAGTCAGAGCAAAGTGGGTGTGGAGAAGGTGTTGCACCTGCTGGCAGATCCCAGGTGGTGACAAGGTCCCACTTGGGTCCTCGAGCTCAAGGAGGACGCAGGGATCCAAGAGAGGTGGACAGGAGACCACCTTCCTCCAGCGCTCAAGCCCCGCCCCCGCGCAGGCTCTTCCTCAGCTACCCCCAGACCAAGACCTACTTCCCGCACTTCGACCTGCACCCGGGCTCAGCGCACCTGCGCACGCACGGCGCCAAGGTGGTGGCCGCCCTGGGCGATGCCGTCAAGAACATCGACGACATCTCGGGCGCCCTGTCCAAGCTGAGTGAGCTGCACGCCTACATTCTGCGCGTCGACCCGGTCAACTTCAAGGTGCGCGCGGGGGGGGGGGGTGGCAGTGGGGGACGAGGCGGGGGGGGGTGCTCTAGCGGGGCAGGGTCTCGGCTGAAGGGGCTCCGCCCCAACCCGGAGCACCCGCACCCCACCCGGGCCTCGCCCTGAGCCGACCTCTGGCCCCCAGCTCCTGTCCCACTGCCTGCTGGTCACGGTGGCCTCGCACTTCCCCGCCGACTTCACGGCCGATGCCCACACCGCCTGGGACAAGTTCCTGTCCATCGTGTCCTGCGTTCTGACCGAGAAGTACCGCTGAGCAGCCGCCAGACCGAGGGCGGGCTGCGACCTGTTCCCTGCCCTTGAACCTTCCCACAATATTTCCCGAGATTCCCCAATAAATGGATGAGGATGGGTCCTCACAGAGTGGGTCCTGCGTTCTCAGTGTTGGCGGGAAGGAGGGCTGGAAAGCCTGAGCCGCAGGGCCAAGGTCGACCCCAATACCACCACGGGCCCGGAGCCACACACCCCGCCCCGAGAGCGCTTGCTCGGGCCTGGCGCCTGCAGACCCGCCCCAGGCTGGCCCAGGCCTCCTCTAGGGGTCGACATGCGTTTGCTCCTCCCCTGCTTTCCAAATCGCCCAAAGACTGTCGCTTCCCTCAGCTCGTCTGCACTCAGGGGCCTTCTCCTCAAAGTCCGATGCCATAGCTCCGAACTGCGGGGACCCACGATAGGCGCCCCTTGTCCCGAGCGGGGAGGGGGTTCCCGCCCTGCGCTCTTTCCCCCAATCCCTCCACTGGTCCCTCCTGGAGAGGCTTTCACGCGGCCCGCAGGGGGGTCATTCCGGGTCTGGCTGAAGCGCGCTCCACACATCAGCGCCCGAGTCAGTGTGGGTAACCCGCGCGCACACGGGCACACGCACCCCGACCCCCGACCCCAGGCCGTGGCCTCTGCAGCTGGAGGTGATTTCCCCGAGCTGGCCGACGGTCGCACGTGCCCGCCAAGGTCCCGCAGATAAGGGCGGGAGGGGCGCCGGGGATGTGTGGGGGCCGCTATAAGGAGGCGGGAGCGGCGGGCGCGGCCCCCAGAACACGCCCCGCCAACGCCGTGCTCAGCGCCCAAGCGCCCACAACGCGCAGGTCTGGGCCCTGATCGCCCGCCACGAGGCGTCCTTGGGGCGGAGCTGCTGCTCAGGTGGGTGAGGCGGGGTTTCCAGGGTCACACGGAGGCGGACACAAGGGTTTGGGGCCCGGTCCGAGGGGCGGCCCAGGCTGGCGGAGGGGGGGTCCCGCGTGTCTGGGAGGTGCAGGCGCTGCCAGGACCCCATGCGGCCACCCTCCTCACTCACTGACCTGCTCCATCAGGCTCTTCACGGTCTATCCCAGCACCAAGACCTACTTCAAGCACGTGGGCGTCTGCCCTGACGAGACCCAGCCGCGGACCCACGGACCACGCGGGCTCCAGGCGGTGGGCGTGGCCGTGCACACGTCGACCACCTGCGCGCCGCGCGGAGCCCGCTCGCCCCCCTGCACGCGCACGTGCTCCGCGTGCACCCCTCCAACTTCCCCGAGGGCCTGCCCCGGCTTCAGTGGGGTTCGCGGGCAGCCAGGCCTGGGGTCAACGGAGGAACGGTTTGAAGCAGACCCCCTCTCGGCCCCCCCTCCCCCGCCGCAGGACGAGCTCACCGTGGAGACGCACGCGGCGGGGGACGAGTTCTTGACCCACGTGGCCACGGTGCTGACTGAGAAGTACCGCTGAGGCCCAGCCCCACGGCCTGAGGTCTGCGCAAGTCAATAAACAGGCCTCAAATGGCCAGAGCCCGCACGTGTGTGTTCTTTGGGGCGCCAGTGGGCGGAGAAGCTGGGCAGAAAAGTTAGAGGTCCCGCATGCAGACTCCTGGAATCTTAGGGCGCAGCCGCCAGTCCTTGAGGACAAAGAACCAGGGACCCCGGGACGAGTCCTTGGGTCTATCCAAACTCTGAAATGAGGGCGTGGACCCTAAAGGCTGGAACAGAACAACTGCCCTCCTGTGCCAGGGAAATGGGTGGGGCGGAGTGGTGCTAGGGTGAGGGAAGGCCCTCGCGAGCAGCTCTTCTCCAGCCCCGAAGCACGTGTGCACGCACGCACTCACGCCCCGAAGCACGTGTGCACGCACGCACTCACGGCCCTCCCGCTGGGAGCCCGGAGCAAGAATCCGCCCAAGGGTCATGTTTCTGGCCCGAGGTCAAACAGAGTCTGGGGCCAGGCCTCCTCTGACTCTCAGTGCTTCCCCCTCCCCACAATGCTCAGTCTGCAGCAAACTTTGCCCTTCCTCGGAATCTCGTGGCGTGGGAGACTGCGGCAGGACCTCCTGATGGCCAGAATCAGACACACAGAGCAGATGTCCGAGCTGGTTCACACTGGACATGTCGCTGAGCAATAGGAGCCTCACACATCAATGTGAAAACAAACAGAAAACGACAAACAAAAAGCCCTAGTCGCTGGGTCCTTGAACTAATTTGTAAAATCATAACACAGGCTCGGTGTATGGCAGACCCTTGACAATCCGGCCCCAGCTGCCCCTTTCAGGATCTGCGCATCTCCCCTCCAAGCCGTTCCTTGCCTTCGCCCCAGCCAGAGTCGATCTCTGCCTCAGCCACAACCGGGCAGGGATCTTAGCTCCCTCCTCAGAACCTTGGTGGACCCCGGCAGCTCTCCAAACTCTGAAGGAGGAAGGCTCCCCAGAGAGCAATCTCGGCGGGTGGAGGGAGCACTGAGCCCCACACGGCAGTGACCCTCAAGTCCGAAGGGCGCTGGAGGGTTAGCCCTGACCGTTCCTGAGCCGAACTCGCCACCCGCACCCACCGTCTGCGCCTTCACCTGTTGGCCCGCACCGGTTAGGAGCGCCTGCCCACCCCTGGGGGAAGGAGGGCTTGGAGATCTCCCCCCGCATTATCTCCTTGACCCTAACTGTTAACACGGACAATCTACAGCTCTTGGTCCTGGGGAAAGTTTGGTGCGACAGTAGCTCGTTTCACTTTGGAAAATAGCGTGCTCCCCTTCCCAACCGGCACATACCCCAGGTCGGGGGCCAACAGTGGGGGCGCGGCAGACGAGTGGGGAACCTGTGTAGGCTCCCCAGAATCGCGGGGGCCGGAACCGAGAGCGCCGCCAAGAGCCGCACCTCTGCCTGCGCGCAACCGGGAGAGGGAGGGAAGTCGCGGGCTCCGCGCCCCTCCTGGCCCCGCGCCAGCCAATGAGCGCAGCCCGGGCCGCCGCGCCCCCCGCGCCCCCCGCATAAAAGCTCCGCGCGCTCGCGGCCCCGCACATTTCTGGTCCCGACACAGACTCAGAAAGAACCAACCATGGTGCTGTCTTCCGCCGACAAGGCCAACATCAAGGCCACCTGGGATAAGATTGGGGGCCATGGTGGCGAGTACGGCGCAGAGGCCCTGGAGAGGTGAGGACCCAACTTTCCCCTGTTGGCATCCGGGGCTCAACGACCCCTCGCGGTCCTTGTCCCGCCCCGCCCCGCCTAACCCTGGCTCGCCCACCCTCCCCCCGCAGGACCTTCTTGTGCTTCCCCACCACCAAGACCTACTTCCCCCACTTCGACCTGAGCCACGGCTCCGCCCAGGTCAAGGCGCACGGCAAGAAGGTGGCGGACGCCCTGGCCCTCGCCGCGGCGCACCTGGACGACCTGCCCGCCGCCCTGTCGGCGCTGAGCGACCTGCACGCGTACAAGCTGCGTGTGGACCCCGTCAACTTCAAGGTGAGCACGCGCCGGGGGACATCCGGGGTGGAGGGCTCGCCGGCCCCGCTAGCAAGGGGGCAGAGCGTCCCTAGGGCTCCAGCAGGTGGAGCGCGGGCAGCCACGTCCCCCGAGCCCCCTGACGTCCCCGCTCCCCGCAGCTCCTGAGCCACTGCCTGCTGGTGACCCTGGCCGCCCACCACCCCGCGGAATTCACTCCTGCCGTCCATGCCTCCCTGGACAAGTTCTTCAGCTCCGTGAGCACCGTGCTGACCTCCAAATACCGTTGAAGGAAGCCGTGGCGCCCCTCCTGAGGGCCCGGGGCCCTCCTGTGACCCGGGCGCGGAACTTCCTGATCTTTGAATAAAAGTCTGAGTGGGCTGCAGCCTGTGTTGTCTGTCGCTGGGCGTCGTCGTGTTGGGGGGCTGGGGCTGGGGCTGGGGTGACTCTCCTCACCTCCCACCAGGGACCCCTCTGCAGCCACAATGGCGGGCCGGGAACTAAGGCTGATGCTCCAGGAATGCGTGAACCACGTTCCAGGCCTGCGAAGGGCCTGACTCCCAAGGGTTCCTCTCTGGGGTGAGAGGTAGGGAAGTCTTAAGATTGCCACCTTCTTTTCAAGTTTCTCTGACTAACCCCCATTAAACAAACAGTCTAGGTCAAAACAGAGCAAAATAAACCACAAAAACACACCTCCTGGTACCAATGCAGCTGCTGGACAATTTCTATGAGATTTCCACCTCCTTCCTATCAGAGGGAAGGTGGGTTGGAAAGGGGCTTGCAGCCCTTCTGCCTTTCCTGGGCCACAGTAACCCTCGGAGAACCGTGTGGGGATTGAGTCAGGAGAGAAGAGTGTGGCAACGAGCCGGTGAAACAGTCAAAGCGCACTTGGGAAGGATTAGCAGAGCCCCTTGCCCCCTTGTTCTGCGGCTCGCTGTGCCCCCATGTGCCCCCAGCTCATTGCTCCCCCTATTCAACAGCCCAAGGCTCCTGGGGGCTCCCAGAAGCTCTGCCTCGGTGCTGCGAACAGGGTTTGGAAAGGCTCCTGGCCCAAGTGCTGAAGCCTTGGGCTCCATGCGGCAGCTTCACACACCTCACCCGGCCTCTACAAGGTCAGAGGTGCAGCGTCGGGGCCTCCAGCCCAGCCTGGGCTCCGTTTTGGGACGCTGGCAGGGCCCCTCGGTCACTGCTCTCTTTTGGGCCCCGGGCCTTTCCACACAGGGAGCTGCTTCTCCTTCTCCACCATACACTCTTCCTTTGACCTAGAGCCCAATTCATTTCTATTTAAATATAGAAAATACTTAAACTAAGGGAAGCACCTGAGTGGTTCAGTCGATTGAGAGTCTGGCTTCAGCTCAGGTCATGATCTCACGGTTCCTGAGTTCAAGCCCCACATTGGGCTGCCTGCTCTCATTTCCTGCTCCACTTTGGATCCTCTGTCCTCTGTCTCTGCCTCTCCCCACTCACAACTCTCTCTCTCTCAAAAATAAACATTTTTTAAAAAAGAAACTAAGGGAGGCACCTAGGTGGCTCAGTAAGTTAAGTGTCCAACTCTATCTCAGCTCAGGTCTTAATCTCAGGGACATGGTCGTGAGTTCAAGCCCCGTGTTTGGGCTCTGTGCTGGGCATGGAGCCCACTATAAACAAATAAACAAACTAAAATCCATCCTTGCTTTCTCTCTCTCTCTCTCTCTCTCTCTCTCACACACACACACACACACACATACACACATACACACTGTGTTATTCAAAGTCAGGAAAGAGACTCGCTCTGCCCTGTCCCACACCCCTGCAGAAGTAACACAGTTACCAGTTGGGGACTGAGCCCACTGGCTTCTATCCTGTGCTGAGGGGACACAGCTACACAACTACATTATTTTTTGTTGTTGTTGAAAATATCGTCATAAACTGGATATTTTTCTGCAACTTGCTTTTCTCACAGAACCATGTCTCCACTACATCTCTTCCAGCAGCTTCTCCAGCTCTTTCTCATTTCACAGATTTATTGGTCATTTCTCTATTTCTGTTTTTTAATGCTTATTTATTTATTTTGAGAGAGAGGGTGTGTGTGAGAGAGAGTGGAGGAGGGTTAGAGAGAGAGGGAGACAGAGAATCCCATGCAGGCTCCTTGCTGTCAGCGCAGAGTCTGACCTGGATCTTAATCCCTCGCAGTAGGAGATCAAGGCCTGAGCTGAAATAAAGAGTTGGTCGATCAACAAACTGAGCCACCCAGGTGCCCCAGTCATTTTTATATTTCTGTTAGTTTCCAGTTAGTATCCTTTGTCAATTTGTTTCTCCCATATATATGGGAACTCTAGCCATGTTAAGAATGTAAGCCATTGGCTGAGATATGTTCCCAAGTCTTGCCTTAAAAGGACTCAGTGGCAGAGGGATTGGAACAAGATGAAGAAGGAGGGATTATCCCTGGCCTGGAGGTGGCTCTTTTACACCTCTAAGCACTCAGTGTCTTATGCTTTTTGGGAGGCCAGGATTGGGGCTTTGGCTCTGACAGAATCGGGAAAAGCGTGGAGGTTCGGAAGGGAAAGTGGACTGAGCCAGGAGGAGAGTCCTGTGTGAACAAAATCAGAGGCACAGACACACCAGGAGGCAGAGCAGAAGGAAGAATTGCTGAGACCTGTCCCACTCAGTTGGACCATTACTTCCTCCTGGACACAGGGGGGGGTCTCGAGGGAAGGTCCTAGGAGAGGGATGGGGGCAGAGGGTGGTGCCCAGCCAACCCCTCTCCAAAGGGAAGTCTTCTTCCCAGGAAAGGACACAGCAATGGCTTCTCGCTGTCTTCTCCCCTCACCAGGTTCGGACGTTCTCCCTCATCATCCCCTCCTCCCACCTACTAGCCCAAGGGTCTTGTCACCTTAGGGGCCTAGCTGGAGTTCTGCCCGTCTCACCACCCCACTGGAAGCTCCTCCCCTGCCCCTGCTGTGAGGTCTGGCCAGCCTTACCACCCCCACAGCTCCCCACTCCAATTCTGCACCCACAGAGTCTTTCTCTCCCCTTCCCCTCCACCAAGTGATGGGTAGCTCCCCCTCTACTCTGCCTAACAATGACTCATCTTCCAGTCTCACCTCCTCAGGGAAGCCCACCATGATCCTCAGTCTTACCCTGACATCCTTGAGTTCCTCACCCACCCTCTCCATGCTTCCTGTGTCCTTTAAGAAGGTTTTCCACTCTCTTTGTACTTGTGTAACGGTCTGGTCACTGTCCCTAACTAGGCTGACAGCTCAGGTCTTCTCCAGCCAGTTGCTTTATGTATCAACTCAACCACAATTTGCCTAGTGAGTCTTGTGTCAGGCACAACTTACAGCACTGGGTTTGTCACTGTGACCCAGGACGACAGGGGAGAGAGACAGTCATTCACACAAGGTCCCAAATAGCAGAGGCCTGCCTCTGTGAGTCCCTGACCTGGGGTGCCGCTGCTGCCACCCTGGAAGAAGGGACTTGGCCTGGAACTCTCCCGCCCCAGCCCTGCAAATTCTGCCCCTCGGTATTTGTTCCTTCTGTGATTGGCACTCAGTGGCTATGTGTGTAAAGAAAGGGGGTTAGAGGAGGGGAGGGGGGATACTGGGTGGGAACCCTTGAGTACATGTGAGGGAGGACCCGCTTGTGTGCACATCTCTTTCCGCCCTGCAGTAGGAGAGGCCTTTTCTTTCCACGATCAATCGCCCGTTCTTCCACTGATTCCAAGCTAATACACGTCCCGTGGGTGCCACGCCTAGATCAGGGTAGGTGGCACAAACTGACTACTCCCTTCTGATCCTCAGGAGAGCGCAGCCTGGGGCTAGGGGCGCTCAGGGACCCTGACGGGTGTCACTGGGCTCAGGTGTTGGAAGAACGGGCATAGAGCCACCTCAGCAAACCGACCCCCAGTAGATGGGGGTCTAGGGTATCACTTCCAAGGGCGGGGGATGCGGCGACGTGAAGAGGCAGACGGGAGGAAGACACCGAACCGTCTGCAAAGCCTGGCGCGAAGCCCCCACCGCTGGCGCTGGCCGCTCGCCGGCGCCCCCTGCCGTCCGGACCGCGCGCCAGCCAATGAGCGCAGCCCGGGCCGCCGCGCCCCCCGCGCCCCCCGCATAAAAGCTCCGCGCGCTCGCGGCCCCGCACATTTCTGGTCCCGACACAGACTCAGAAAGAACCAACCATGGTGCTGTCTTCCGCCGACAAGGCCAACATCAAGGCCACCTGGGATAAGATTGGGGGCCATGGTGGCGAGTACGGCGCAGAGGCCCTGGAGAGGTGAGGACCCAACTTTCCCCTGTTGGCATCCGGGGCTCAACGACCCCTCGCGGTCCTTGTCCCGCCCCGCCCCGCCTAACCCTGGCTCGCCCACCCTCCCCCCGCAGGACCTTCTTGTGCTTCCCCACCACCAAGACCTACTTCCCCCACTTCGACCTGAGCCACGGCTCCGCCCAGGTCAAGGCGCACGGCAAGAAGGTGGCGGACGCCCTGGCCCTCGCCGCGGCGCACCTGGACGACCTGCCCGCCGCCCTGTCGGCGCTGAGCGACCTGCACGCGTACAAGCTGCGTGTGGACCCCGTCAACTTCAAGGTGAGCACGCGCCGGGGGACATCCGGGGTGGAGGGCTCGCCGGCCCCGCTAGCAAGGGGGCAGAGCGTCCCTAGGGCTCCAGCAGGTGGAGCGCGGGCAGCCACGTCCCCCGAGCCCCCTGACGTCCCCGCTCCCCGCAGCTCCTGAGCCACTGCCTGCTGGTGACCCTGGCCGCCCACCACCCCGCGGAATTCACTCCTGCCGTCCATGCCTCCCTGGACAAGTTCTTCAGCTCCGTGAGCACCGTGCTGACCTCCAAATACCGTTGAAGGAAGCCGTGGCGCCCCTCCTGAGGGCCTGGGGCCCTCCTGTGACCCGGGCGCGGAACTTCCTGATCTTTGAATAAAAGTCTGAGTGGGCTGCAGCCTGTGTTGTCTGTGTCGCTGGGCGTCGTCGTGTTGGGGGGCTGGGGCTGGGGCTGGGGTGACTCTCCTCACCTCCCACCAGGGCCCTCTCCGACTTGGGAGGGGAGGGAAGGGGAACAAAGGGTAGAGGAGGGCAGTGGGGCCTGACCCCCACCCTGCTCTCTGGAGTGAATGCTTTGCTGCTGCATTCGGGTTCCTGCGTTTCGTTTCAGACGTTTCCATTTGAGCTCTGATTTACTCAAATGATGAACTGATTTTCCATCTTTACATTTCATGGCACACATCTGGGCTGAGAGTTAGTGGGCCCCCAGCCTGGATGTCTGCGCTCTCTGTAGCTCTTCCCGAAGTCGGGTCCTGGGGGAGACCGCGAGTTACGCTCCTCAGAGCCCCCCCGAGTGCCCTCACACCGTCCGGCGCTTATAAGGTACATGGGCAATGGAGATGGTACCGGGGAGCAGTGCCATCACAGTTGCCAGGCAGTTTCCCAGAGGGGGGCATCTCCTTCACCTGGTGATACTTCAGGACGTTCACTCTGCAGATGACGGCGGCCTGGGCACCATGGAACCAGAGGCCCTGGTTTTGGACCCAGCGCAGCATTCACTGCCATGCCCAGAGGCGCGCACTCCTGAGGCCCACCGACTCCCCCTGGCAGGGCAGCAAAGAGAAGAGGCACTCCGCGTGCCTCCTCCCCCCACAGCAACCGCTTGCGCCGTAGGTGTCTGGTCCCGGAAGTCCTCCAGGCTTGAGCCCCCAACTAACAGCAGTGTCTTTTCTTTGCTAAGAGTCACCCTTGGAAAATGAGGTGGCAGGTCTCTGCCTCAGTTCGTGCTAATTTTAGCACAGCTGGCGACACAGTGGGAAGTCTCAGTAAAAAGCAGTCTCCTTCTTTTATCGTTAGGAAAAAACGAAGGCCTGGGCTAACGGTGGAAACAACCCAGACGGCCATGAGGGGATGAATGGGTAAAGTGTAGTCTGTCCCTACAGTGGAATATTAATCAGCCAGTAAGAGCTATGAAGCCCTGACACAGCCTACGACGTGAAGAAATCTGGAAAACACGCTAAGTGAAAGAAGCCAGACGCAGAATATATAGTGTGTGATTCCACTCACAGGAAATATCCAGAATAGGTGAATCCATAGAGACCGAGGGCAGACTGGTGGTTGCCAGGGACTGGGGGAGAAGGGTTGCGGAGTGACGGGTAATGAGGCCGAGGCTTCCACGTGGGGTGATGAAGTTCCAGAACTAGCTTGTTGTGCTTGCACAGCACTGTGTGGATGTGGCTACACACACTGAATTGTACCCTTTAAAATGGCTAATACAGGGGCGCCTGGGTGGCTTCGTCAGTTAAGCGTCAGACTTTGGCTCAGGCCATGATCTTGCGGTTCGCAGGTTCCAGCCCCACATCGGGCTCTGTGCTGACAGCTCAGAGCCTGGAGCCTGGTTCAGAGTCTGTGTCTCCCTCTCTCTCTGACCCTCCCCTGCTCATGCTGTCTCTATCTCTCTCTCAGAAATAAATAAAACATTAAAAAAATAAAATGGCTAATATAGTACATTTTGTTATATGAATTATCCCAAAAAATGTGTAATTCGTAGAGCACTGCCTGGCACAGAATGAGTGCCCCAAAGGTATCAGGTATCATCACTGAGATGCACCGAAGGCACTTAATAAATGTTTACTACCCTGGAAGGAACAGATGCTATGAGCTTGACAGTTGTTATCCACCTAATTCTCACAACAACCTTGGGAAGAGGGCATTTTTATGTTCCTTTTATACAATCAATGTGAAAATAGACTCAGGGATGCCATAAATAGGCTGGGGAGGAAGGGAGGGAGAATGAGCTGATGTCCAATGTCAAAATCCATGCTAAAACTCAGTGTTCCCTGATAACAGTGATAATACTAACAAATTATTAGTTTCCATATAATAAACACTACAAAAACGGCGCCGCGGGGTTCATGGCAGTAGGGAAGGACCCAGGCTCTGGGACCCCGCTGTACCCGGGCCGGGGCCGCTCACGGCTACTCTACGAGGAGAGGCGGGGTGCGGCCGCGGCGTGGCGCCCCCTGGAGGCCGCGGGGACACACCGGTCGCGCCGGCGCCGCCACCCGGAGCGCAGCGGAGCGCGCGCGGCGCGACGGGGGATCCACGATGGCGCTGTCCCCCGCGGAGAGGGCGGCGGTGCGCGCGCTGTGGAGGAAGCTGGGGAGCAACGTCGGCATCTACGCGACCGAGGCCCTAGAGAGGTGCGGGCACAGGTCCCGGCGCCCCACCGGCTCCGGCCTTGGAGCCCGCCGCGAGGATGCCGCCCCCCACACCCCGCCAGCCCTGGGGCCCCTCCACCCGCCCCCACCCCGGCCCCGGATCGCACCTCACTCGCCGTGCCTCCCCCCGCAGGACCTTCCAGGCCTTCCCGACCACCAAGGCCTACTTCCCCCACTTCGACCTGAGCCGCGGCTCCGCCCAGGTCAAGGCCCACGGCCAGAAGGTGGCGGACGCTCTGACGCTCGCCGTGGCGCACCTGGACGACCTGCCCGCCGCCCTGTCGGCGCTGAGCGACCTGCACGCGCGCCAGCTGCGTGTGGACCCCGTCAGCCTCCGGGTGAGCACCGGGCCGGCGCTGGACCAGCGGCCGCGGGGAAAGGGGGTGGGGGGAGGACGGTCGCGGGCGGGACGACTCCCTCCCTCCGCAGCACCTGGGCCACTGCCTGCTGGTGACCCTCGCCCGGCACTACCCCGGAGACTTCAGCCCGGCCATGCACGCCTCGCTGCACAAGTTTCTGAGCCACGTGATCTCGGCGCTGGCCTCCAGCTACGGCTGAACTCGGGGAGGGGCGTCGAGGGACCCCCGACCCCTAGCCGCCCCTCCCGCGAGTCCCAGAGTTCGAATAAAGTCCCCGCAAGAAAGCCCAGCCTGCGCGCGCGCGTTCTCTCGGGGGCGTGCGCGGATCTGCGGGGTGGGGGGCCTCGGAGACGCCGGAGTCGCACCCACCATCGTTAGACGCCGGCGCGCCTCCCGCTGCCCGCAGGGCGCCCTGGGCGATCCAGGGGAGGTTTAGGTTGCCGCCACTCTCCCCTGGCGACGCGCGGACTCCTTCCAGGTGCAGGCGAGCCGGCCCCGGCCCCCGGCCCCGGCCCCTCCGCCCGGCCCCGGCCCCCGGCCCCCGGCCCCTCCGCCCGGCCCCTGACCCAACCGGAACCGCGGGCCCCGCCCAGCGTCTGGGAACGCGAGGGAGCGGCGCCCCCTGCCGGCAGGACCTGCGCAGACCCCGACGGGTGTGCGCTGGAGGGGCGGGGAGGGGCGGGGAGGCGGGTGAGCTTGGGTGACCGGAGGCCCCGCAGGAAAGCCTCTCCTCCAGACCCTGGACCCGGTGGGAGGAGGCGGGTCCTGCCCCGGCACGCAAGGTGGATCAGGGGTCCGGCCAGAGCCCTGCCTAGATCCCACACTTCCAAGGAACACAGACGTCAGAGCGTGTTTGTTTGTTTGTTTGTTTTTGTTTTTACTTTTCTTCACAAAATCAATCATGGTCATTGCAGAAACTTTAGAAAATAGTCCACTTACTGTATCTTCCTCTGGATCCCGGCGGGTCCAGCACATCCATTTTCCCTTCAGTTCCCACTCGACACGCGGGGAAACTGTGTGAACAAGTGGGGGACATGGGGGTCAGAGCCAGTAGTCGGCATGCGACACACACAGCCACACACGGGCAGAAGCGGCCCCACCAGACGTGCAACAAGCTAACGTTGAATTCATAGCCTACCAGGTCCTTCCGGGAAAATTTAGAGACACTTTCCTTAAATGGTATCCTCAAGGGGACGCTGGAAAAAGTGGACACATTGGCCTAAAGAACAAGAAAAACACCTTGGTGTGGGGAGGAGGGAACATCATAAGCATAAATAAAAGAGGAGCTGGGAGGACACTCTTTGCCACAAAGTGTTATTGTCTCTCTTACACAGGACAGACCTTCACATTCTTCTCCCCACCTTCTTTAAAAGCCAGTCAACCCAACGGAAAAAAAAGCCAAAGAAAAAATAGGCAACTCACCGTGTGCTGAAGGCCGACAGACATTTGCAGTGACGCTCAAAGACGTACACATTAAATGCTCCTTAACAACATGACACTCGGTCATGAAATAATCTTTTTTTTTTTAATGTTTTATTTATTTCTAGGAGAGAGAGAGAGAGACAGCGTGAGCAGGGGAGGGTCAGAGAGAGAGGGAGTCACAGACCGAAACAGGCTCCAGGCTCCGAGCTGGCAGTCAGCACAAAGCCGGACGCGGGGCTCGAACCCACGAACCGCGAGATCATGACCTAAGCGAAAGTCGGACGCTTAACCGACTAAGCCACCCAGGCGCCCCTCAATCATGAAATAATCTTAAAAAGAAAAAATATTAAAAGGGCAAGATCCAATACACTTCTGGCGGAAGTGTAACTTAGAAGGTTTGGGTAGGTAATTCGGTTGTATACAGTTTGTGGGCTGGTAAATGTGTGATAACTGGCACTCTGGGAAGTGGGCAAGGGAGCTGATTTGTAGCATTTGCCAATTTGCACTGTGTAAATCCTGCCATCACGGTTGGTTTCAAGTTACCAATATGCTCTCACTGACCGTAAAATTAGGAAGAGATGCATTGTATCTGCCACTGTGCTGTATCTCCACAGTCCAGATACAAGATACAAAAGATGTGAGCACAGATAATAAGAGCATAGATAATAGTAAAATGTACTAAACTAAAGTAGTGAGTTTTCAGGGGTGCCTGGGTGGCTCACTCAGGTGAGGGTCTGACTCTTGATTTCAGCTCTGGCCATCAGCTCAGTGTGGTGGGACCAGCCCCACGCTAAGCATGGAGCCTGTTTGGGATTCTCCTCTCTACCTCTCCCCCACTGGTGCTTGCTCTCTCCCTAAAAAAGAAAAAAAAAAAGTAATGAGTTTTCAATATTTATTACCTCTGATTTTAACATAATATATTTATTTGTAAATTAATATAACCTAATTATTTAATTTGTAATAGTGGTTGTGTTTAACTTTTTTTTTTAATGTTTTATTTATTTCTAGGAGAGAGGGAGAGACAGCGTGAGCAGGGGAGGGTCAGAGAGCGAGGGAGTCACAGACTCTGAAACAGGCTCCAGGCTCTGAGCTGTCAGCACAGAGCCCGACGTGGAGCTTGAACTCACGAACTGTGAGATCATGACCTGAGTGAAAACCAAGAGTCAGCCACTCAGGCACCCCCCTGCTCCAAACTTTTGTTTTTTTTTTTTTATAAATGTTTTTATTTATTTCTAGGAGAGAGAAAGAGAGCGTGAGCCGGGGAGGGTCAGAGAGAGAGGGAGTCACAGACCGAAACAGGCTCCAGGCTCCGAGCCGGCAGTCAGCACAGAGCCTGACGCGGGGCTCGAACCCACAAACCGCGAGATCATGACCCAAGCGAAAGTCGACGCTTAACCAACTAAGCCACCCAGGCGCCCCATAGTGGTTGCGTTTAACAACCAGCTCTCAGACCTCCTGAAAATTTAGCATGGGTCTCCACACACCAATGGCTGTATCCTTTAAATCCCAGAAGTGCACCCCGAGGGCGCTTGTCACGGAGCTGCCTTCAGAGGTCTCTGCAAACGGGCTGCATGGCCTATCGTCCCTGTCCCCGCCACCCGTGATCTCGCGCTGAGGTCTCCATCAGCCCACGAGCGACAGTGTGGCAGCCATCCCCTCCAGCATCTCGCTCCTGGCCGCCCACGACTATTACCGCCGCCTGGGTTCTGCTTCTAGTAACGCTCCTGCGAAGTACTCCTTCTGAGTATCCCGGAAAGCCATCCCTAACCACCCCCCGATACCCCCAAGCTCCTTGTTCCAGAAGTCCACTCTCCCATTCAAGGCTACAGTGTTGGGAGTCCGGAGACCTCCAGCAGCACGATCACTGTGACAAGGCTCTGGAAGCCATGAGGAAGCAGCCTGGTGGCCAGCCTGGCAAAGCTGATACCCAGCCCCAATGCTGAGGCCACTGAGGTAGGCTCATCAACCCCACGCCCCCAAGGCTCTGTACCCTAGGCAGGCCCAGCAAGCAGAAGCAGCTGGATTCTTTTTTTTATGTTTTTTTTAATTAAAAAGAAATTTTTTAAAACATTTATTTTTGAGAGACAGAGGTAGAGCATGAACTGGGGAGGGGCAGCGAGAGAGGGAGACACAGAATCCGAAGCAGCTCCAGGCTCTGAACTGTCAGCACAGAGCCCGACGTGGGGCTCGAACCCACGAACCGCAAGATCATGACCTGAGCTGAAGTTGGACACTTAACCAGCTGAGCCACCCAGGTGCTCCTGGATTATTTTATATCAAAATAGGAAAGCACCAAATAGGAATTTGAGAGCACCTCACTCCTTAGCATCCAAGCCACACCCAAGCCTCCCCTGTAACCGTGTGCCTTGCACCAAGTGGAAAATAAACTCTGAGCAGCCAGTAAGAAAAAAAAAGTGCAAATTCTCTAAGCCTTTTTGGGAATTTATCCTACAGAAAATAGTGGCACACATATATAAAGATGGAAAGAAGTTAAATAAACTGTCACACAAGGGACCGCCGTGTGTAGCCACAACAGAGACTGAGGTCAGCCTCTGAGCACAGACACGCTGCCGAGACATTCATGCATCAGAGCGCGGCGCAGCTCAACGTGTAAAGCATAAATGCACTTTTCCATGGACACAATCATGAGAAAACTTGACAATATACATTGAATGTTGCCCGCAGTCATCCACAGGCCTGAGGCCAGAGAGACGGAGAAGGGACTGTTACCACAGTTTGCGTAGACCCAGAAAAGGAAGGAGGTTGGGGTATGAGTGACTTTTCATTTGTATTTTTAGTTTTTACAAATAATTGGCAGAAAATCGTGCTCTAAATATTTGTAGCTAACCTTGATGCTGAAACAAACAACTATTGCCCTGGGGGATTGTGACAGAACTAGAATTTCTGGGGTGTGCGACCGCCGCTACGGCCTTTCGTTACAGCTCCACCAGCAGGAGGGCGCAGGGACTGGCAGCCTCCGTTTCCCCGGCGACTCGTGACGGGGGACGTGGGCTCCGTCCTTCTGTGCGAACTGCTCGTCTGTGTCCCGTTTCGCTGCTGTGGCTCCCGTCCAGTCATGGGATCAGCGCACAGAAGCCTCCGCTATAGGCCTATGGACTTTTAGTTCGTCTTATGTACTGAAATTACTTTTCCATTTGTTCTGTCTTTATTTGGGGGGCGGAGGGGAGAGCGGGATACTTCCTCTGGATACACCCGGCTCTTCCTGCAGGGCTGTGGGTCCTGTCAGTGCTGCAAGGCCGCCTGGGCTGAGCAGCCATTTCCATCCTGGGAAAAGAGGCCACAGTTTCATTTACAGCCGACTACAAATACTGGACACATGGTTTCAATGTTTCGTGGTTTTTTTTTTTTTTTTAAAGCTCTATACCCAACGTGGGGCTTGAACTTCCAACCCTGAGATCAGGAGTCATATGCTCTGCTGACTGAGCCAGACACCTAGATTAAAGACCTAAAAGCGTCAAACAGCAAGGGATGGGATAAAGAACCTTCAGGCCAGAAACCAAGTAAAGCCGAAGACTCGGAGAGGTTATCACAGCACCTAAACTACTTGGGTCCTGAGGTATTTGCCAAAACTAGCAAAACTGGGCTAGAAGTTTCTTCCTCATAGGTAAGAAAGGGTTCAGAATACGGTGAGGTGCTGTGGGAGCCCGACAGTGACCACGAGAAAGAGTGGTTAGGGACGCGGGAATGTGCCTGCAAACGGGACGCTCTGCTTGGGCAGATCATGCCTGCAAACAGGATGTTCTGCCAAGAGACCTGCACACAATGTCCAAGGTTAATGATCTGCTCGCACTCGAGGGAACATGCCCTCCTTAGAAATAAGGAGGAGGCTGGAGTTGTG